ACTATATTTAATACGGTGTTTAATGCTATTTACAGAAATGAATAATTTTAAATAATATTTTGATGCATTTAAATTAATTTTTAAATCGAAGTTGAAACATTTATGAAATATTAGTGACTAATTTTAGATTTATAACTAATTGCAAATTTCAATTTTGAAATTTGTTTTCACACAGAGATGAGCATTAAGTGGTACTCGAGTAATTTAATGTTGTAAAATTAAGATTTTACTCCTTAATATCATTTATATGTATCATTTTAACATTTGTATACATCAGTGAAATTTTTAATACTTACTTGTAACAACTGGATAACCTGTTATATTGCTATAAACAAAAAGAAATTGTAAACTTACCATTTTTTTAAGGCGGAAATCATCCAGCGAGAATAAGATTTTATGTATTTCTTTGTCAAGAAAAAGTTATTTTGTAAAATTATTCATTGATAGGAAGAAAAAATTATTCCAAACAAAAAAAACTAACATGCATAATTCAAGTTTTAAAGTGACATTTATTACAATATTGCATGATCTAAAATGTACAATAAATTTACCAGTCTTAAAAACTTGTCGTATAATAGCAATACAAATAAATATTCGTAGAATATTCATTAAATAATTTCAAAATTCACATACCTTTGAAACTAAGCTGTCCTAAGACTATTTGAAATAATTTCAAAATAAACAAATATAATATACACATTTGTTAGCTATTTTGTAAATCTAAACTTCATTTTATACAATAAACAGGCAAACATAATAGAAGTCTCAAAGTAATTGAATTACATATTTAAAAGTCCAAAATATAATATTAATAAAATAGAAAATATTTTTGGACGTCATTGTATTTATAAACTAACAGCACTCAAGTTTCACATATATATTTACAACTTAAAAGTCCAAATAGAATATTTATTTAGTCTCAAAATTTATTCCATTTCGATCATAAAATAATAAGCAAAAAGAAAAATGTATTTCATTTAAGTATTAAGTTTATTTTCTCTTTATTGAAAAAGCAAGAAGAAAATGACTATTTAATTTCCATAATATATTACATAGTAAATTTGTTTTGTTTTAATCAAAAAATTATACCGAAGAGACGAAATAAATTTTTATTTAACTAGAAAATATTTAGTCTTAAATGTATTCAGTTTTAATTTTAAAAAAAAATTATGCAAAAATTGAAAGTCATTTAAATTACAATAAAGGGAAAAACAATGTGAGTAAAGTACATATAGTACATATAGTTCATATAGTACAGAAATGGACATACTATAGTTACGGTTCTCTAAACAAGAACATTCCTCTGTGACAAAACACGAAATGGTATCGGTGTTTAGACACTGAGGAAGGTTCTAGTTTAGAGAACTGAAACTATAGTATGTCTATTTATGTACTTTATTAGTGCTTCATTCGCGCTTTTCACTTAAGTGTACGTAGCACAAAGAATACATTAAACTTCCGGACATTTAATTTAATTAAAGTATCATAATCTTAAGTCCATTTCATTTATAATTAGCATAAATAAAAATTTATTTAAATTCAAAATAATTATTTAAACTGACGTATATTCTGTTTCAATCAAAAATTATGACTAATACTATATTATATTTTACATAATAGAATCTTAAAATTTTTTACCTTCAACACAAAAAATATAAGCAAGAAGTATATTTAATTTATTTAGCTTTTTATAGTAAATTTTACGAAAATTTTTAAATTTATTGAGTTTCAACTAATTTTTGAGTCATAAAATTTATATATATATATATATATATATATTATAAGAGCTTATAATTATTTGTGAATAGTGCTTAACAATGTTTAGCAGTCTATTATTTGTAAATGACGTTGAACAACAAAAATTGTTAAATGTTAGTCTTATTTTTAGGAATTGCGTTGTACATGCAAATTATAATTTTAATAAGAATGCCTGAATAAAATAAATTAGTAGATGGTAACAAAAAAGAAAGGGAAAAATCCAAGAAAGTTTGAAAATAAATAAAATATCTTTAATACAAGAAAAATCTTGCTTTAAAAGTAACGAAAGAACTGCAGGATATGTGAATGAAATAGTTAAAAGTTAATTTTTAAGCCTTATAGATTTACAGATTCCGGATTTTAAAAAAAACCTTTTTTCCCAAGTAAAACTAAAAACTATTAATTTCTAAGGCAGGAATTTCAGACATATGTTAACTACATTAACGTTTTCGAATTATACACATGTAATCAGTTATAGAAATTAAAGCACTATAATGTTATTTCAATAAACAAAGCGTTTTGTTCCAAAAATGATTAACAATAATACTAAGAGTAATTTCAATTTAAAATTCAAAGGTAACACATAAATATAAGTTTTTTTCATTAAAAAATTTTCAAACGCAAAATTCTTTAAAAAATTTAATTAAAAAGAAGTTAATTAAAAATTATTTTTCTCTACTGTTTATTTAAGGGGACTCATCATTACTGACATTGAAAAGAGACAGATTAGAAAATCAAGTAAAAGAACTCAAAAGTCTTTTTCCTTAAGAATTAATCATGGAATATGAGCAGAAATTATACAGGGTGTTCCATAAAAATCACCCTTAATATGTATTTTTAGAATCTTCATCAAAAATGAAAACAGCTAAGCATTTACATTGGCGAGTGTAAATTAATACTTAAAGGAGGAGAAACCAATAGAAGATTTCAGATCTAATAAACAACAAACAAGTTTAATTGGAGAATGAAACGTATTTTAATTCCTCTGTGTTTACTCCCACAATCAAACCTGAAGCATTGTTTATTTTCTTGCTTTCTGTATTTCAGAACGTTTTTTTTTTCATCTGTTAAATATTAAATTGCGACTCAGAATGTGCATTCAAACACTTTACTACACAACTCTCATAATTTTTTTCGTCTTTGATAAGGATTCTGAAAATATGTATTGCGAGTGGTTTCTGCAAAATACACTGTATAAATAACATTCAACTCAAAACTAGATTTAAAGTTATAAAAATTCTTTCCTTTTTAAAAAAAAACTTTTTTTTATTTTTCTTTCATTATTTCATAATCTAAAAGTATTACAATGATAAAAATAAATAGTATGAAGTAAAAAAAAAAAAAATTTAAATAATTGCGTTATTATTTTATCAGATAATTGTCCAGATAATACATTGCTATTTTACTTTACATTTTAAAATTTGAAGTTTAAAAGTGAATGAACTTTAAAAATTATTCTTAATTAAAAAATTTTCAAAATTATTCCTAATCAAAAATTTTTCAAGTTTCATTATAACTGTTTTTGTAAACATTTGAATTAAATGATTTTTACTCATAAAAAGACACTATTCTGAATCTATAAATATTAAAGTGGCTCATTTTAATTATGTAACAAAATGATTAATTTAAAAACACTGATATTTTTTACCATGTATTTGTCAGAAGTTTGATAGATAAAGAGAAACAAAAATTTCAAACGAATTTATTTCCTTTATATAGAAATTATTTCCTTTATATAGAAATAATCTGTGATATTTTTTAAGTAACTAACTTTTGTTCCTAAATATTTAATTTCTAAAACCAAATGAAAATAAAAGAAATCTGAAAAAAAAATGCTAGGCTATAATAATTATGTATCATTATCTTAACTTAATATGGCTTATATATTTTACTATATTTAAAGCAAAATACTTTCAAGTCTGATATAAATAAAAAAGAAAGACAATTGTCAAGAAGCAGAGAAAAAGAAGCTCCATACACCACATTAAATTTACTTAAAAGCAAATATGTCCATCAATTCTGTCAATCTATTTAATAATAATGCCTATACTATCATTGAATAATTTAAATAACTTATAATTCAAGGATTAACTTATAAGTTAAAAGTCAGTAAAAAAAAATACAAAACTAGTTATAATTTATTATTTTCGAATATAATACAATAAAACAAACGCTTGGCTATACAAATGGAGTAACTCAAAAGATTCCGATTACAAAGTCTCATAAACACTTAAAATTTATGATTAAAGCAAGTTGTAAGAAAGTAGTTAATTTAAAAATCATAAAAATAAACAACTTCTGAAAATTTATAAAGTTATTTACGATGGACATATGTATTTATAAAAATAATGACTAATAACGAATTGGGATTGACGAACTAACGGACAAATAATTATGGATTAACTTACATGTGCTTTCATAATGCACCCTTAAAAATCAAAATATCACTAATTTCTGGAGAGAAGACCGGCATTTCCTTCCGGAGTTTTGCCGGTGAATAACGAGAATTATTCCTGATTAAAAGATTGTTTTTTGTAGGCATAGTAGCAAAGATTTTTAAATATTTCAATTCTTGAAGTTATTTTAAAAATTAAATTTTCTTCAAATTTAGAAATAGTTATTTGAATGAATATTAAATTTTTCCCTAACATGAAAAGACAAGTAAATGATCGACTTTTGTACTACATGTTTTTTAACTTTTTTTCATATTTAAACCATCTCATAACAAAATAATGTTAGTAAAGCTCATGTTAGAGGTTAGAAATATTTTATAAAGTTTATTCTGAAGTCTAAAAGTACTTTTATGTTTAATACTAATTACTTTTACCTTTTCAATTTGACAATTAATGACTGAAAACAATGAAAAAAATTAATAATAAAGAACTTGAATATAAAAAGTTAATTCCTAACATCAAATTAAATTTACTTAGAAGTAAATATATATCAATTGAGAATTAATTAAATTAGAAACCTTGAAAACTAGAAACCTTGTCAGTAATTTAGAATGAACTGAGATTAAATATATTTTGGAAAATAATTTACCACTATTGAATAAATTCATTTATTGAATCGGCAATAGCTTGTAGCAAAGTAGCTATTCAAAATTCAGATACTATTGATTGAAAAGTATGAAAAAATATCTTTTTTGACTATTTTCTAAGTAATTAAGCAGTTTGAAACTTAAGTTTTTATCAGGTGAATAAAAATGTTTCATAAACTTCATAAATAACTATAGTGCACTATATATATATCAATGTTAATTTGAATATTATTATAAAATATAGTTATTTAATAAAATGCTGACTACACTGTTAAAAAACTCGGTTCAATGTTGAACCTTAATATCAAACCATAATAGGGCGTAAATTTGCTACAGCCTGAATAAGTTGTTAAATTGAACCAAGTTTCTAATTTATAATATCGAAACTTATGAAGCACGATAATATGTTTCAACTTATTAGAACTATATTATGATTCAACATGTTTTTCTAACAGTGTAAGTGATATTTTGAAAACGAATTCTCAAATTTAAAGAACATGCTAACAGTGAACATATTATACCATTGCGCACAAAGCTTTAAATAAATTTAAAAAATGATTAATAGCTTTCATGAATTCCAACCACTTTCTTATTTTAACTTTGCTAAAGTATTCATCTAAGATTTTCATCTAAAATTATCAGGCTGCATCGGAAATATCAGTTAAATATTTCTAGTACATCAATTAAATTATATTTTTTATCTGATGGCAAAAATTATAATTATTTGCTTATAATTAAAATTTACTTATTTAACTCAGTAAACTCATTACTCAGCACTTACTTTTAACTCAGTAAGCTTACTATATTAGTCAAAACTTATTTAATTCAATAAAATTCAAGATTATAAATATGAAATGAACTCTTAAAACTTACAATTTAAATGTTCTGTATAAGTAAATTACTTAATTAACCTTAGAAATAAAATACAAATTACAGTATAAAATATACATTTCGATGTTATGTCAACTTTTTTTAGTTTCTTTCAATAATATTATACAATTTAGCCCTTAGTATAAAACATCGTATGCGCGTATTTGGAATACTGCATAGTTAAAAATTGAATTTCAAAGTAAACAATCTATATAATTTAATAATTGTTAATTTTGAATGATTTATTTCAAAAAAGATAAGACACAACTTCGATTGAAAAACGATAAATCAATAAAACTCTTAATTTCTTTCAAAATCTAAATTAAGCTTGGATTATGGGCATCGCTATTGAATAAATAGCAGAAAAATACAAGCACAATGTGCTTTTCACTTAAACTAAAAACATTTTAGTAACAAAACATAATGATCTTAAATAAAGACATTTTTACCATTCAAAAGCATATTACTTTATATATCTGAAATTGAAAATGATGACTAGCTTTAAATTCCAAAAGAATTACCATAACTGAGTAATAACCTTTTCTAACTGGTATTTTTAGTTCTTTTACTGGAACTTATCAACCTTTGAAACAAAGATTGCAAATTGTGCCTGGTTTTATTCTTTCTCGAAGACTTTGGAAAGCTGAGACAATTGTTCGTCCAGCGAGATTATCACTTTAAATATTTCCAGTAAAAATAATGAGTGCAGTTATTTGGAACATAAATGAATTCCAGATTTAACGGATTCTTAAAAGTGACATCCATGAATGTATTTTCTAACAACAGAAATTATGTGCTTTTTCTATAAGTGACATCACTACAGTGATGGAAGAGTTTTGGGTCATCGTGACCATGTACCATTAGCTTCAAGAGATGTGAACGTCTGCAAGTACTGTCGATACTTTTCCAAGGGATGACAGCCATACGGTGTATCAAGGGGTGGCCCACGGGACAAAATCGGCATATTGGGGCGTAGCATCTCCGGCTTCACATCAGCCGTTTTGGCTTCCCCAATTATCCTTTCGATGGAGAAGCTCGGTTTGGGAGGATGCGCAACTTTGGTACACTGGGGTGAGGTGGTGGTGACATCGCCGGAGTTATCGAATATCGGAGCGGGTCCAGCGCACACACCCGCTAAAGAGTGCTGTATCGCCCCTAGGTTTATAGGGTGAAGGGTGACTCTTGCTAAGTCCTGGGGTGTCAAGAGTGGTACCGGGGGAGGCAATTGAGGCATGTAAGGATAGCCTAAAGCTACATGAGGATGACCAGCAAAGAGACCATGTCTATATGGATCCAGTGTAGCCGCCATGAAAGCAGATGCGTCTTTTATATAAGGGGATGCTCTTTTATAACGCTTTCGCCGTCTTAAAAAACTTCCGTTGTCGAACATCCCCTCAGCATTTGGATCAAGAGACCAGTAATTCCCTTTTCCTGGACATTCAGGTGTGCGAGGTATTTTTATAAAGCAATCATTCAATGATAAATTGTGGCGGATTGAATTTTGCCATGCAGGAAACTTAGCCTTGTAAAAGCTAAAGCGATTACGAATAAATTCGCAAATTCCACTTAGAGTCAGCTTTTTCTCTGGTGAATGCAAAATTGCCATCGTAATCAATGCAATGTAAGAATAAGGGGGTTTGACCAGATGTCCCTTTCCATCTTTTCCAGGATCATCTTTATTACTGTCCAAACGCTCAGATGCGGGATCTACAGAAGTATCTGTTGTGTCTGCTTCAGCAATTCCTCCAGAATCGAAATCACTGTCTTGTAAATCACTATCCGAATCAACGGACACTAAAGAATCCAGTTTTGGCTCGCGAGAAGAAACATTCATGAGAGGTGAACACACGATGTCCTGAGAAGAACAGTAACCTGGCCGCGGGACAAGAGCCCCGTGTGGGACACCATTCATTATAAAGCTTCCGTTGGTCAAAGAGATGGCCTCGCTTCTGGAGCCCTGCTCGGAAGCCATATGATAGCGCATTGGTTCAACGACACCGTCTTAAAAATACAACTCTTACACTAAATCGAAAATACACTTCGAGGCATGCAGGAAAATAGCTCAACACTGATCAGATCTAACCAAGGAAAACGGTGGCTTTCCCAACTCCATAGAACGCCACTTCATTCGCAAACACAGCAGCCAATCAATGGGAGAAAAAGTCAGTGGGACAATTTCGAGGGCGGTTCTAAAGTTCGTTGGCTCCTCCTTCTTATCATTACATATTCATGAGTGAAAATAACCATTCAGAAAAGCCAGATTCTACAGAAAGATGTCTTCACGATTGTTGCTTTCGATATTGAAGGAAAGTAAAAGCAGATTGTCTTCATTCATTACTTGATGAGATAGTACTTTTTATTTACACAGGTATGTCATACTTTGAATAAATTAGTTCTTACAATTTATTCCAGTTTGTTTTATAACAATATATACATTGAAAAAAAAAATTTAAGGTGGGGTGAATAATTACGTTTGCTATTAAAAGTATATTTTCGTAGTACAAAAAGTATACACTCAATCAAATTTCTTTAAAAAAACCTTCTGAAATATAATTTGTAATGAAACTGATATTTTTACTTGGACTGTTTGGTTACATTAAAAAGTAAACAACACGTGATCTATATCAGCACGTGTTTGTTTATACCAGGATATCCCTAAGCGTGAGTCACGAACCGAACTTGGGGGGGGGGGGGTTAAGTCCTTCAAGATGGGTCATCGATAGTTCTAGTTGGAAAAAAATTATTTTAAATTCAGCAGTTTTTTTTTTTTTTTTTTTTGGTAAACATGCAACAAACAGAGAAATGTAAATTTTGCTCATAAATCCCATTACAACAATTTTATTCCTTAATTGCATTATTATCCGATTTCTCCAACTTAATTTTGTTTAGTTTTCACGGAATTATTATTCTCGCGGTTCTATTATGTAGAATAGTCATTTGCAATGATTTGGTTGTTTTATTTAGGTTTTTCCTCTTTTCAGAAATCAAAACATTTTTTTCATCACACTTCCGGTAACGATTATTAACTCTTGAAAAATAATTTGAGTAATGGTTATTTAAATCTTTATTGCTGTATGGTAGAAGGTAAGAATGAATAATTACATCGAAAGATTTAGTTTATGAATATTCTAATATTTAATTATGTTATAATGAGCATTACTAAGTAAATTTCAATCTAGCTCCTGTCGCAAAGCCGAGGCAGTGATTGATTTAAAGTCGGTATTAAAAAAGGAAAGGGTTGGAGTCCCTGCTTTATACTGTAATCAAAGGGTATCTACTTAATGTTGTAAACCCAACTTTATACTGTAATCAATATACAGTCCGTGAGTAGAAAATGTATATTCATTTATTAAGTTAGCATATATTCTACCAATATTAATCCCAATACAAATATATGTAGAGTTTTACTTAGTATACATCGAATATACAACTTACTAAAAATATCAAATCTAATAGTTATCAAGAAATTGTTTCCATAGTCTTACCTCTAAACTAAAAGTAGGGGAGAGTGGGGTCAATTGCTAAACAGCGAGATAATTAAATAATGGCCTTTTGCGAAAGGTCCCCCTTGTCCTTGGTTGAAAAGAAATCTCAAATTTTTCCATATTGTGCTTTCTTTATTTCTTACTACACGGAGAAAAAAATTCTGGCAAAATTACCGTATTATATGGTAATGACGTTTCTGAAAGAATGAAAAATAGTTCTGATTAATAAAACAAAAATATAAGATAAACCAATCATTTGGTAATTTTTTCGCTCATATGATAACCGTTTGACGAAATTCGGGTTATAAAAAGTTTTTATTGCTGCACATGAGTAAGAAATGCAAAACTGAAAATTAAATTTAACCGAATAAATGGTTTCTATGCCAAGATATTATTATAAAAAGTTTTAAACATTTATCAAATTCACATCATAAAGCCTTATTTTATTGTTGATTTTACCATTGGCATTACCAAAGAGAAAAGTTATCAACCATAGAGCCAGAACCATTTTTTTTTCTCAGTGTGTTATTAAATTTAGAAAAGTAATATTTTTTTAACATTTTAAGGACTTAGTTCTAAATGTCATCTATGAACATCTATCTATCCATCTAAAATCTATCTATGAACATTGATAATATTTTTATTTTTCAAAAATGTTTTAAAACTTTAATTTGACTTACGTTTTAGTCATAAAAAGAGATAAATTCAAAAAATGATACCAATATTAAAAATACATTCCTTTTCATAATGCTTATGTGCATTTAAATTTTTAAGCTGAATACACTCATAAAAAAGTTTAAAATTTGACTAAATCATTTTATTTATATTTTCTACGTTATTTTTTTTCTTTCTTGATATCTGAGGGTTGTTAAGATTAATATTATAATTTTAACTTTAATATAAAGAAGTAAATCAAATCTTTAGTCCAGTTAACTTAAAAAGCAAAATTATATATAATAGATATATATATATAATGGTTATTATGAAATTACTTTTATGTTCACATATGACCCTCTGTAATGCTATTTCCAATTTCAAATTTTAAATAACGAAAAAGTGAGTTCATTCAAACCTTGTGAAAGTTATAAAGCTTTAGTTTCAATTGCTGAAATTTTTTTTTTTCAAAATATCAAAATGCAAGTAAATTATTGGAAGAGAACATCTCCATCGCGTCATACTAAGTTATCTTTTCATAATTTATTTTCATCTTGATATTTTAAAAATTTTCTTTTCAGAATTTGAAACTTCATGGCTTATTCTAGATTTCTCCGAACTATCTTTTTCTATGCTTCAAAATTTTAAATTAGTTATAAGTGGGGAATTTGTGAATAAAAATTTCTCCCCTGAACAGAATAAAATTTTGTACACAGATATTATGCGCTCATGGATGATGATAAAAACCATTACGCAGCTTTCGCGGTTACATTTACAGCGAAAAAATTTTGAAATTTCCATATGGCAACATCCACTTAACTAACTTAGCTAACTAACGAGGTAACTAACTTTTTCTTAAAACGAAACGTAATTCATACAGCAAAAAAACTAAAATGGAATTGGAACGATATTTTAAGTGCAAAAAATTACGACGCTAGACTTTTACCAAGTGTCTCCATTTTTGTGATCATTAAGGAGAAGAGAGTGTGACATAAAACTTAGAAAATTAGAAGGAAAGAATTTGCATGTTTCAAAAATTTTTGGCATGTTCATCTTCACATGTTCGACATGTCCATATTCTCTTCTCTGAATTTAAAAGTTTTTATCGCACTTTTTTCTCGTTAGTGGTCACAAAAACTGGTGACGCTTAGCAGAAGTTTATATGGATAATTTCGTTCGATTACATTTTAACTTCATAAATAATTTGATGAAAATATTTTAGCCATGTTTATAAATTTTTTTTTCAGACAGTAAATAATGGGAGAGAATCTCAATTAATACGAACAATTTTATGCTTGTATAAAATAATCAATTGTAAAATAGAATAGAAATTAATTTAATTAAAAATATCACAAAAATCAAACATATTGATGTTTTCTCTTCTTGCTTTAAAAAATATCTGTACTTCAATCGAAAAAAAAATATATCGTTGTTTTGAAGTAAATTAAACTCTAACGCATAAAAGCAAAAATGCATCGATTAGAGATAATTTTCAGCTTCGTGACACAAAATAGAGAATAAATTATCTTTGGGCCCACTTGGCAGGTAATTTAAAAAGTATGAAATAAAAACAAAGTAATGCGAAGCTTGCATAATTTGTACTAAACATTAAAGAAATAACATTTTTTTCTCCTGAAAAATGCAGATAAAGAGAATTAAGAATGGTTAAATCAAGAATAAATTTGTAATATCTAAAAATACTTCTTGCGGAAAATAAAAGATTTATAAGAAAAAAAAATTTCAAACAACAATCACTATTTTACTTTCACTCAGAAGATAATATCAAAACAGTGTTCAAAGTAATTTCAAAATAAAATATAATAATTTTATTAGTAAATGCAAAATTACAAAGAAATTAAAGTAGCCTTCTTTAATCACCGTACGAGAAGAAGAAAATTGATAATTTGAGACATCTTCAACTTTCATCACACAATCATACTTTGTATCCCACATTCCTCACTACTAAATTTAAAAAAATATCGTTTTTGTGTCTCCGTTGCTTACATATTAAATTACGACCTTTAATATGTGTGTGTGTTTTTCTACTTCATTTTTTACAAATATTCTAAAAATATGAATTAAGAGTGAAGATTGCTGCTCTTTTTCGTATTTTTGGAATTTTTCAAAAAAAGTATGAAGTCAACAACTATTTACATAAATTGTTACAAATTAAAATTTAACTGAGGACTAACAAAGGTATCTCAAACGTTAGCAAACCAACCAATGTCTTATTTCATTTTTTAATTCCGATCCAATTCCGAGTTAACAACAATCAATGTTGACTTCCAAAGCCTTGTAATTTTGAACTCAATCCAGAAAGCCAGGGAACTCTTGAATCAAGCATTGGGACAAACTAGCCTTCCGGAAGGACTTCTAGACAGCAACTAACCAGCATTTGTGTTACATAGAAAACCACGAAAACCTCCCACGGTTAGCTTGACTGAAAAAAAGGATTCTAACCCATCATCCGTCTACCACTGAGACTATTTCATGTCAGCACTGTGGTCTGTGCGAGCCAGGAGCAGAATTCGAATCAATCAGCCAACGCTGGGATCGAACCTGGCTCACCTAATTGAGAGTCACCGTGACTCACCAACCAATTAAGGAAAATAAGAGCAAAGGTAAGTAAAATATTTTTACGAAGATTCACGTCCGGGTCACCAATTGAGGCGAGAGCATGTAGCGAAGCTGAAAGAGAACAGAACTGCGAGTCGTACAGCAGAAGTTATATCGCTCGACTGTAACCATTCGGCCTCAATAGACTAGGTTTTTTTTTACATACATATTTCTTTTGACTTTTATTTTTCCATTTTATTTTAAAATTTCGAGTGTATAATACACTGCTTGTGTCTCTATTATACACTTGGCAAAAATTAGGTTATAGGGTAATTGCCCGGGAAAATTCGTTAGTAATTGAGTCAGAATTTAATGTAATTAAACATTTATTCATTCTAAATTAGATATTTCGTTTCAAAATTAATTCATTAATTAAT